GTTGCTTAGTTCTTCTGTGTCTTTGTTGAGTTTCATTCTAGTTGTTTCATCCTTCATCGAAAGTGGTGTATTAAACTCTCCAATTATTGTGGAGTCCTGGTGTGGTGCTGGGAGTTAATGTGCTAGACTGCAAAGCCGTTTGAATTGCAAGGTTGGCGGTTCAAGCTCACCAGCTGCTCTTTGGAAACCCTGTTCAGGGTCACTATGGATCAGAACCGACTCGACGGCACTTAACATTATTGTGGAGTTGTCTATTTCTTTCTTCAGTTCTGGCATGTGTATACACTGTGAGTGACACATGAATGAAATCCCAGCTGTTGGCTACTTTCTCCAGGAGCCTAGTGGGGAAGTCTCCAAGACCTGGGGACCACAGGGTTATTGTTCCCACCTGGAGAGGTGTGAACAGCATCAGCATAGTTGCATGCAGCTGGTGTGGTGTGCAGAGGGGACTGGGAAGGTGTGTGCTCAGCATTTCCTGCTTCAGCTTAAGTTCCTGGGTCTGCAGCTAGCACAGGCTAGCACAGTGGGCTCTGCATGTTTTTTTTCAAATACATGCTTTTAGCTAAACAACACAGGAAATTTTAACAAAATAAGAGGACCAAGACTATTCTGGTTTGGCAGAACCTCTGCCTCCGGGCCAGGAATGACAGGAGGAAACTGAAAAGAACCTAAGGTGGGCACCACAGGGGGCTGGGAGCTCTGTCAGGGCTCCATCTAGAGAGAGTCCGGTGACACCCCACCAACAACAACAACTCCACCAGGAGGTGCTGTGCATAGGGGGCCAACCTACCCTAGCTGGAGAATGGTGGTTTTCTTTTAACTCTGATTCTCTCTTTGATTTATTCTTAGCAGAGATATGTATGCTCATTTAAATTATTAAATGATGCCCTTATATGGAGTCCTGGTGTGGCGCTGCAGGATAATGCATTGGACTGCAAGGTTGGTTTGAACCACAAGGTTGGTAGTTCAAACCCACCAACTGCTCCTCAGAAACCCTAGATGGGGTCACTATGAGTCAAAACCGACTCAGAGGCACTTAATAACAACAGCGTGGCATTATATTCCCTTCAAAAGGCCCCTTTGTTGTTGTTAAGAGCCATGGAGTAGGTTCCAACTCATAATTACCCTGCATGGGGTTTCCAAGGAGCTTCTGGTGGGTTTGAACTGCCGACCTTAAGGTTCAAAAGGACCTTGAGGTTCAAACTGATTTTGCAGCCCAGTACTTATCCTACAGAGCCACATCAAGGCTTCAAGAGGCCCCTAGGTGGACCAAAAGACTTTTGCTCAATTTCTAATTAACATGGAACCAACCCAGCAACCATCAAAGAAAGGTCTGGAAATCTGCTTCCATTCAGATTACATCCAAGAAAACCCATCGGAGCTCAAGTCCACTGTGTAACGCATGGGCTTGCCATGAGCCAGAATCAATTCCAAGGACATCAGTTTAGTTTTGTTGGTTATGTGTCCTCCAGGTGATGGGGACATGCAGCCGAGACTGAGCACCCCAATCACCACATCCTTTACTGTCCCAGAAGCACCACAGCCGTAGTGAGCAGTTAGCTAGCTCATTTGTTTTCCACTTATCTCTCCCTAATTCAGTCTTCTCACTTTTCATATGTCATTTGTATTCATAGTTAAAAAACAAATCAAATATTTAAGTTTGAGAGGGGGTTACTATGTAAACACGTTGTTAGTTAAGGATTTTTCTGATCCTGCACCCAACACTCTTAAAGGAGCTGGCTGGGCTAAATGTGGTAGAAGCCACTTCCCATACAGCTCTATGCTCTATAGTTTTCAGTTTTAAGAACTTGGATTTAGAGCCTCATATCCTCATCAATAATCAAAAAGTTGGGGCTGCTGAGCAACCCTTCATCTTTAGGCCAAAGACATTTTCAGTGTGATGGGGATCTCCTTTCAAGAACGCAGCCTCCCTGCAACCCACCAACTTTAGTATATATACAGTTAAGTTCCTCAGCTCTCTGATACTGATGCAACCTCTTCCAGTTCTCAGTTTCCTGCTCCACACACCAAGATGGGTTATAATGCCTTGACTGTGTGCATGTGACCACTACTGGTGAAGCTGAAGATTGGATTCTGGGTCTCACTTCTGAGATGGAGGTCGCCTGTCCAGACCCCTCAGACTCACACTTTGAAACCTATTTGCCAGGCACCAATCTTGGTGCTAAGAAGCTCTGGTAGCGGTAGTGGTTACGAATCGAATCGGGCTGCTAACGTCAGGGCCAGCAGTTTGAAGCTACCAGCTGTTCTGTGGGAGAAAGATGAGGCTTTCTGATCCCGCAAAGATTTACAGCCTTGGAAACACTAGGGTTGCTATGAGTTGGAACCGACTCCACGGCATGTCACAACAACAAATCTTGGTGCTGGACATTAAACGGAGAGCTCACAGTGTGATTAGAACCCACAGTAACTCGCTTGGCTTAAATGAAGGCCTTAGTTCATTTTACAGATGGGATAAATGCTAGCTGAGGGTCCTAGCAATTTTCTAGCCCTTCTAGATGCTAGTCAGTATTCTTAATTTGTGAGCCACTGACTTTTCAGGGATAAGGGCATAAGGAGACTCGGCAGTCACTCAGCTGGCTTCTGAAGGGAGTTAGTGGTATATAAAATAAGGTAATAATGTAGATAAATGAATGAAGAAAATGGCTATGGTTTTGCAGGACCCCAAGCCAGTTACTGTTTAAGAAAAGAGCATGAATGTGGGTGATTTCCTGGTAGAAAGATTGGGCTGGTTGGAGGTCACTATCCTAATTTAAAGATGGCCTTTCAGAACATCTCTTTGCTCCTCTGTGAAACAGGACCACTGAGAATACCGAGAAGTGAACTTGAGTACCGGTACATGCTTTTAGTGGGTCCCAAGCCCACGAGACAGAAAGTGGGTGCTGAGCTGAACACATACTCCTCCCCAAACAACTCCCAATGAGGCCTGGACCTTAGAATAGAGGGAATTCAGGTGTAGGGCCCCCAGGCCAAGCCCTAGGCTCTGGTTGCCTCCTCCCAGCCCTGACTCCCACCTCCCAGTCCTGAGTCCCGAGTTGCTGCTCTCACAAGTGGTGGTGGTTGTATGTGGTGGAGTCTGTTTCGATTCATAGTAACCCTGTATAAAGTTTACAAGACTATGAATCTTTACGGGACTCAGAGTGACCGGTGGATTTGAACTGCTGAGCAGCACAACACTAAATCCACTACACCACTAGGGCTCCTATTGACAAGGGGTAGCACTTAAGACTCTCTTGGCATCGCCCTCTTCTCACATGGTGTAAGGCAGGATTGATCCAGAGAAATGAGAGAACTGATTGATGCTGGCAGCGTAGCATGGTCCCTAATGTGATAATTGGACAACTCGAGTTCAAGCCACACTGGTCGGTCCTGTGACTCTTCCCGGGTGTCAGGGGGGCACATGGAGCTGCTCTCTGCACCCTGACACCCCCAACAAAGTTTTGACTGCGTCTGGGCACTGTGGGCCGCAAGGGCAGGCGCTCTCTGAGTTTCCTAGGCTCTGATTTACAAATCACAAGAACACAAAGCCCCAATTCGCCACAGCTGCTTTAGTCTGTTTGTAAGAAGTACTGGGACAGTCCATACTCTGTGGACTAGGGGAACCGGACTCAGAACCAGTCTTCCTTAGTTTATATTAAGAACATTGGAGGCACTCAGTGGGTAAATTAAGTTACACTGCAAGCGGGGTTTCAGCTTGATTTCCTTGAGCCTCCAGTTTTTTTCAACTATAAAACACATGCAACTGTATTCGTCTGTCAGGGTAATGGTGAGGTAAGTTAAATACATGAGGAGAGGATGTCTGTTTGGTTATGGCGCTGGGGCATTTTTGCCCACTGAACTCACCACAACCTCTGCGTTCAGACATGAAAAACTGCTGGGCTGGGGAGTTTCTGGGCAACTTGACCTCAGCATTGGCACTTAGCTGTCTCATCAGTAAAATAGGCTAAGGCATTCTTTTAAATGAGGCAGGCAACTGAGCTTCAGTCACATAGGTTTTGGTCCTCTTTGCTCTCTGTTTAATGCCCAGTGCCAGGCACAGTCGAACAGTACCTGGTACATACTAGGGTTCAAGAAGTGAGTTTGAAGGATTTGAGCAGACGTCCTCAGTTTCCGAAGTACGAAGAACCCCCAGAAACCAACCAGTTATCGGCACGCAGTGGAAGCATTAAACCGTCCCAGATCTCAGTTTACTAACTTTTCAAGCAGGACCTCTCTTTTTTGGGATTAGTTAAGATTGCGCCTAGCGGGTCCAGAGTGGCTTTGTGCTCTGTATGGGATAAGTGCTGGACTGTGAACCATAAGGTAAGCGGTTAGAGCCCGCCAGCCTTACCATGGGAGAATGAGACTTTATACTCCCTCAAAAATTCAAAGCCTCGGAAACCCTGTACAGGGTCGCTATGAGCCAGTACCGACTCGATGGCACATAACAACAAACATTATTTATGAATTTGCCCAGTGAATGACTATGCCTACGACCTTGGAATTTTATTCCTGCCGCGCGGCTAGCGGAAAGAAGCACACGTGCGGGGTCAGCGCACTCTCTTTAATGGGAAGGGGTGTCTCATTTCTTACAGCAACAGGTAAAAACATAAATACGGGTGGGTAGGTAGGAGGCGATGGCAAGGCTTTGTGCCTAGACTCGGGTAAGGGCGGCTTGATTTCAGGCCCCGCACACCGGAACTCCCGACCTCAATGACTGGTGTTTGGCCTGTCGAGGGTGCCCATGGGCTCTCAGAGGGCACTCCGGGGCAGCGGCTAAGGCACCAGACTGCGGGGTCGCTCAGGCTGCGTCAATTGGGCCACAAATTCATGGGCTGGGAGAGAAGGGCGCACATGCTGGAAAAATGTTCCAAAACCTTCGCAGGAGCGAATGTGAAATCCGAGGGACCTAAGGCCGTGTTGGGAGTCCTCCCTCCCCTGGAGAGTCGGTACCCCTCTATTGAGGTGGGATCTGTCAAGGGAGCCCCAGGAGGGTCCCTTCCCTACCAGGCTCGGATACCGTGCAGCGCGGATACCCCCGAATTGCCCTGTGGTATCCCAGGACTCTGCACCGCATTCAAGTCCCCGACGCCGAAGTTCACGAAGTTGTTGTTGGCGGCGGCTGTGGGCGGCTGGGCGGCGGGCGGCCCGGCGGGGTACGCGGTGGCACAGCTATAACCTGGACTGCAAGTCGTGCCCCCATAACCCGGGTAGGCGGGATAGGCATTGTAGCCGTAGGCGTTGAGGCCCACTCCGTATGCGGGCGCGTAGGGCGCTGAGTCCCCCAGGCACGGCTTGCCGTCGCGCACCAGCACTGGTACCGCGATCCTGCGCGCAGGCGGTGGTGGAGGCGGGGGCAGCCCCACCAGCTCCAGAGTCTGGTCCTGTCGTTGCCTCTTGCACTTGTAGCGCCGGTTCTGGAACCAGATCTTGACCTGCGTGGACGTGAGCTTCAGCACGCTGGCCAGCTGGTCACGCTCGGGAGCCGACAGGTACCGCTGCTGCTTGAAGCGCCTCTCCAGCTCATAGACCTGAGCCTGCGAGAAGAGCACCCGCGGCTTCCTCCGCCGCCGCGCGCGGGGCCGCTCGCCACCGTCCGCCTCCGGCTTCTCCAACTCCACGGCCTTCTGCAGCGCGCACAGCTCTGAGAGGGACAGAGACGTTGTCAGAGCGGAGCGCCCACCGGGTAGTATGCCCTTGAGCTGCCGCCCTGTCCTGCCTGAAGCCCGGTTTAGGTGCTTATTCACCAAGTCAATAAGCACCAAGGGCAACCCAGCTTTCACTTTACAGTCAACGAACGAGCATTTCTTCAATGCCAACTATGTGCTTTGGGTGCAAGAGAATGGCACAAGAGAGGAACTTAATCATGGGCAGTTCATAACCTGATGAGGGAGACAATTCCCAAGAGCTCCTACTGCAAAGATAATCACTCACCCCAACGCACCCGGTTTTATTAAGATTATTTCGTTTTGAGAGTTAAGAGGGAGAAGGAGGCCTCCTCACTCCAGGGAGGGAGGGTGGGGGGGAGGACTCGCGGTCATAAAATTAAGGACCCGCAACTTGAAGGCCAAGAGGTACTGAGTAAACTGCCGCAGGTTTACCCAGCGCCCAGGGTCAGCGGCTTCGGAACCTGCCCTGGTCCTGTGCTCGAGCTGGAGTCGAATTAGTAATCGAATAAATTCTAGCCGCTGGACCTACCGCAGTCTTTCCCTGGTCACCTCTTCGCTGCTCTTAGAAAAACCTATGAATCCTTCCCTGGCATACAGCGACCAGGACTGTTGACCTGAACTCTGGTACCGGGACTCTCGGCGTTTGCTCCGAGTCAGCGTTGCGCCGGGCCCTAGCAGCGCACAGCTTTCCTCCGCGGGGCCCTCCTCTCTCTGATCCCGCGATGGCTTGGGCAACGATCTGACCCACAGTCCCCTGCCATCTCCATTGCCTAGCGACTTCAGTCGCGCGGCATTTTCTAACCTTTTCTACCAAAGAACCTTTCGGCACTGGCCTCGCCGGGAAATTGGGCTGGAAAAATAATTCGTCTAGATTCGATTCATGAGAGTATCCCATTTAAAATAAAAATCCTTGTTCCCAAAGCCTACACTCTCCTGGCACAAAGAAGGAAAGGCCCAAGAAACGGAGGGCCACGCGTAGCAACAGAAGGTCCCGGACCCTCTCCCCAATTGTGGACAAATGGGCCTGATGTGCAGTTTAATTTTTGTTTAGCGGTTTTGCTCAGCTCCTCAAAAAGACCCGTAAAATCAAACACATCCCAAACCAAATAAACTTGCAGAGAAGATGTATTTCTATTTCTACAACACACATCACTCAGTTTTGTAACAGAATCCAAAACAGGCCCACAGCTACCCCGGATTTTTTGGGACACTTTTTTGGTGGGGGGTGGTAACCGGGGATCTGTTATGTTCCTGATCCTTTCAATCCAGCATTTCCTCAAAAATCTCAGTTTGGACGCGGGGCACCTAAGCATCCAAACAACCTCACTTCTCACACTGGGAGCCCCCAGTCCCCGACCCTAGGCCCAGGAGCGCACATCTCCTCCTCCTTTGGGGCCTGGATTTCTTGGCGGTGGGACTTGGGGACAAAGCAACCCGGATGGTCGGTGACCGCTGGAAGGGAGACGAGAGAGGCTTGTGTTTCCTCCTCACCTTTCTTATCTGCTCGGAGATCCTTAGCAGGGTCGGGGTCGCAGTAGGCGCGCGGGTAGAAGGGGGCTGCCGAAGGGAAGGGGGGCACGCACTTGGCGGGCGAAAGCGCGGGGCCCAGCTCGGCGCGCAGCTCCGAGAGGCCAGGCGCCGCTGCCTCCGGCCCAGCGTAGGCCTCAGGCTTGAAGGCCGCCAGCATGCAGGAGGCGGGCGCCAGGGTGGCCTCCAGGCGCGAAGAGAGCTCCCCAGCGGCCAGGCTGCGTTGCTGTTGTTCCAAGTTCAGGATGTCTTTGACAGAGAACGGCGTGGGTGTGAGCGCAGGGCTGGGGAACATGGTGGCAGCGCCGATCTCACAGCGCCAGGTGGGCAGCAGAGAGCGGCGCTGCCCACTGCCTATGGCAGCTTGGCTGCATGGTGCCAGCCGCCCGCTCACGCTCACGCACCCGCCTTCCTGCTCGGGATGTGGCGGGCAACAGGTAGCACTGAGCACAAGAGGCAGGAGAGGCGGGACCAGCCCAGAGGAGGGGGCACTCAGTCTGCCATTGGGCCGGGGGCGCGATGACAGGCGCGATGAGCAGTTTCTTGTCACCTAATATAGTCATACGGCTAAAAAAAAAAAACCCACCAACCAAAAAAACACACAACCCCGCTCAGCTTTTTAAAGGGGCCACCGCACATTTGGAAAGCTCTCCTTTTTTTTTTTTTTTTCTTCTGTAGCCTAAGTGTCTCTATAGCGTTTGCCTGAAAAACATACCAAAACGCATTTTCAGGAAAGCTTTCTTTTTATTCCCCCTTTTTTCTGAGTCCCACATCTGAGTGGGGATGGGTGGGTCTGAGATTTGAAGAAATGCTCCTCAACACCCAAAACAATGAGAGGAGGGTGAAGATTGTGTGGGAGGTTTTGGTGGGGGTGCTATTACCAGCGGTCATTAAGACTTTCTCACTCAGATGTCTGACTGGGAGAGAGAGTTTGCTTTGGAATGATGGCTTCTGGGAGAGCTTATGGACAATGTTGGAATTCAATTTGACTTAAAAGACCAGCCCATCTCCCTGCCATTTCCCAGAAGTCCAGATCTTGGGGATTTTTAGGTGAAAAAATGGGAGAGAATGACCCTTTAATAATGAAACAAATTCAAATCCCCAAGAGAGTTATCTCCGGAGTGCTCTAGCTCCCAGGAGTCTAGCTGCTCCAGCTTCTAGAGCCCACCATTCCTACCTCTTTCTCTCCTACCCTCCCTGCCCAGCAGCTAGGACCTTAGGTCTCTGTCAGTCTTAAGGCCTCAGGGCCCCAGTCCTGGTTTAACTTTTAGGCAGGCAAGGGTCTTTGAGTCCAGCTGGGTCAGGACTTTTTTAAGGCCTCTGGGCCAATTCCAAGTGGGACACCGAAGCTGGTCTGGCACCTGGACGAGTCATAGGTGTCTGGACGACCCTGTAAAGGGTTTCTGAGGAGCGGCTGGTTGAGTTTGAACCACCGACCTTATGTTATGGTTCAAGCCAACCTTGAGGTCAGTGCATTATCCTGCAGGGCCACACCAGGAACCAGTCTCCATAGGGTCCTGTGGTATCCTTTAAAAGGTCGGATGAAAACTTCAGTCTCTCCATCCTATCCACAGCCTAGAACATTGCATAGATGTGTTCTATTTTGTGTACCATTTCAGGGAGGGTAGGGGCAAGGCCAAGAGCCCCAGGCTAAGAACTAATGCCTTACCCGATTGCTGAGGTTGGCTAGGCTTGTCCGTTGAAAAGCGTAGAATTTTCAAGACTCTAGAGAATGAAAGGAAGGCTCTGTAAGAGCTCCTAGATCTGCTAACACCAGTGTTGTCCGTGATGTTGAGGGCTCAACTTCATGAGAAGGCGAGTTTAGGAGTTGGGAAATGGTGCTCCGAGTTATAAAGAAAGGTGGCACAGGGCCAAAGACTAGCTCAGAACGTCGCTTGGGCCTGAGGCGTCGGAAGAAATGCTTAAAAGAGAGGCCAGGGACCCTCGTCCTGAAAATGAATCTCAGGGCGGGCAAGCGGGACAATGAGCGGTCGGGCAGCTTCACTAGGGCGCGACTGGAGTCAAGCCTTGGCCCAAGTCGGGAACTTCCCTGACCTCCTTACGTCAACACCCAATTTCTAAGACCTAGGGCTCTGAGCTAAGGCGCAGGGTAAAGGAACCCTGCGAGACGGTCTCTGAGGCTGACTGCGCCTGGGCTGGCCGCCTGCTCACTTTCATCGGCTGGTACCAGGCCCAGGCCGCTGCTGGAATCTCACCGGGAGCTTTTTGGCGGTCCTGGGATTGTTAGTTCAGTCTGTGAAAAGTGTCTTTTCCCAAAAATGTTCTTAAGATTCTTGTGATCCCCAGGAACTTTCTTCCTTCCCCACTCCGCATCCCGGGATTTCCCTCGACAGACCGGCCCTCAGTGGCCTTTCCGTCTCCCTTTCTCCTGGGTTTTAGGTCACCTTACAATTATTGCTACCAACTAGTCTATGTTGGGGGCCCACCTCGCCTTTGAAGATTGTTTTTTGGGGGAGTGGGAGAGAAGGCCTATCTCCGAGGCGGTGACGTCTGGCAAACGAGCTACATCCGATTCAATTAAACGTTCCGCTGAAAGGAACTCGGAGCGAGGGTCCTGGGAGCGCTGTTAAGTGAATGGGTTGGCCAGACGGCTCTCGATGACAGTTCGAGAGATTAGTGTGAGCAGACGCTTGAAATATTACCGTTTAATGGGGGACATCGAGGCTGCATCCGGGATCCTTGCTTTCAGGTTTTTAAAGAAAAGGATAGTTCTGAAGGCAGAAAAAAAATATTAGCAATTTCCTCTGCAAAGGCAAGCTTTTAAGATTTATCACCTCCTTATTAGGTAATGAGGGTTTTCCCAGGGTCCCAGGACTGACAGATAGACCCGTGGGTCAGGTGTCATGAAGAGAGGAAGAAAGACTCCCCCCCCCCCATTTTGACAAAATCAGTGACTTCACCCTCTATGCCCTCTGTGAATCCGGTAATAATTTCTCTTAGTTCCAAAAAAGGCGTTGACATTGCTGAAGAGAGGAAACAGGGACAAAACCAGATAAATACATGTAGAATAGAAATTGAGGGTCAGCTCATGCTGTTCTCTGCAGAGAAATCTCCAAGAACAGTTTATAACTTTTCAGTGCAATCCTCTCTGTTTTCTGAGTGATGAAAAAAAAATCCCCCCCCCCTAAATAGAAATTGCAATGGGTGGGGGTAAGGAGGTGAAGTTTGATTCTCACCCTCCTCCTCCTTCAGGGGTGTACCTTCCTTCCCAATGGCAGTTGACTCAACCTGGCCGCCTCTCTAAGCCGCACTTTGGCCAAACTAGTAGGACAAACAAATAGCCTTCAGCCTACAGGAAGACAAAGACAAAGAGAGTCAGAGGAGGGATGGAAAATCTATCCATAGATTCCCTTGCCTTTTAAAGAGTTGGTACTCTAAGATTAGCCAAATTCCAAAGTAGCTCTGCACACATAAAATATTATTAATTGAAGAGATCGATGCGGCTTAGGCCAACCCCCCTTTCCTGCAATCAGCAGGGCCGGCCGCAAAAGGTATATATGATTAATTGAAAGATAAGCTGGAACTATCACCGGGAATGTCATTAATGCGCCGGGGAGACGTCCATTGGAGACAGGCGGCGTTATCCGCGGCTTTATCTTCAACAACGCCTCTTTCTCGGCCCGCGCCGGGGAAACAGATGAGGGTTTCTGTCTGGGACGCTTGCCCCGTGTTTATATTTTGGGAAGAATCGCAACTCGTGGGAGTCCCCGGTCGGCCCCCTGATAAATGAACATTAGCACTTTTTCGGACTACTGTATCAACAAAGGGGCTGCAGCGCGGCAATAATTGGCGAGAAAGCAAACAGAGGCCCGAGAGCGCGACTCTGCTCTTCGTCCGGCTGATGGATGAGCATCCGAGGCTGCGGGCCGGGCTCCCGGATTCGCTCGGTCCTGGACGGCCCCGGGGCCCCTCAGCCGCCCCGGTTTCCTTCCTGGGACGGCCTTGGAGGAAGGGGCGGCTCCGGAAAAGCCTGGCGACCCTACGGTGGCGTCCATCAGATTTTATTTTCCCGAGACACGATTTATTCAGGTGGCTTGGCCGATATCAAATCTCCTTCGCGACGCTGTGTTTTGGACGCCGCACCGGTTCTCACGTCTGTCACCACGAATCCTCTTATCCAGATAGCGCGGTAGAGGAGAATGCAACTCAGAGAGATGAAGTGATTTGTTCAAGGTCATACAGATGGGGAAAATGTCAGCGCCAGGATTCGAACGTAGGACTGACTCCATAGCTGAGACTTTTGCTTTTATTGCACACCCCTGCTTCTAAGAGCCATACAGTGGAGAGGACGCCAAGATATATTCCCCTTTTCTTCATGGCTCCCAAAAGACTTTGGGATCTCAGGTTCCCCAAGACCCTCACTGGCAAGCAAAGCTTTCTGCTTAAAGTTCCGTTTTAGAAAGAGAAGAGTAACAAAATAAAACAATTTAAGATCCTCCAGCTTCCTTTGCCTATTCCTTCTCCTTTTTTGGTAGCAGTTTTATTGAGATATAAATCTCATACATATACTGTATAAAAGGAGCTCTGGTAGTGTAGTGGTTACGAGTTGGGCTGCCAACCTCAAGGTCAGCTGTTCGAAACTACCATCAGTTCTGCGGGAGAAAGATGAGGCATTCTGCTCCTGTAAAGATTTATAGCCTCAGAAACCCTGTGCAGGGTCACAACCAGCGAAACCAACTCCAAGGTACTTAACAACAACAACATACTGTATAAGGACCTCTAGTAGAGTAGTGGTTATAAGTCCAGCTGCTAACCTTAAGGTCAGCAGTTCAAAACTACCAGCCGTTTCTCAGGAGAAAGATGAGGCTTTCTGCTTCGGTAAAGATATACAGCCTCGGAAACCTTATTCAGGGTCACTATGAGTCCAAACCAACTCCAAAGCACATAGCCACCACTACCACCACCATACTGTGTAATTTACCCATTTAAAGTATACAATTTAATGATTTTTTTTGTACATTCGTATATGCTATGTATAAGTACTATATTCATGGTATAGAGTTCTGCAACCACCACCACAATCAATTTTAGAATATTTCATCACTTCCCAATCCCCCTCTTCCACTCTTCCTCCAGTCCCCCAAATCTCTAATCTACTTTTTGTAGATGGTCAATGAAATTAGGCAATATTGGCCTTTTGCATCTAGCTTCTTTTACTTAGCATAATGTTTTAAATATGTAGCATTATGGAGAACGTCATTACTTTTCACAGCTAAATAATATTCCATTGTGGGGATAGATCCTATTTTGTTCACCCATTCCTCATTGATGGGA